AAAGAAAAAACCAGCAGAGAGAGCCTGCCCAGACGCTGAGGCACGGTTGCTACGTATTTGTATCCAAACATGTGCCAGCGCCGTAGGGAGGGGCACTGACCGTGCAGGAGGAAAGGCAACACCAGCCTGCGTCCAACCGCGACCGGCGGGGAAAATCTGCACGGGCGCAAGAGGAAACGTCGCGTCGAAAAAAAAATAAAAAAATGGCGGCCCACTTTCACGTAACCGTTGGGCCCAGCCGGACCAGGTGGCAAGGCTGGGCGGGTTTCGCGTGGCATCGTCACACAAGACCCGGGTTAGTCTTTAATAAGGATATAGAATATAGATGGTCACACTGAGGTAGGATAGTAGGGACAGGGGGTGCGCTGGGAGTACTAATGTGGGGATGGGTAGGGTAGGTGGCCTATGCCGTCAGAACAACCATTGGCTGCCGCTGCCAGCAATCACAGCGGGTCTGGTCCTTGGCCTCTATAACACCCTGGGCTTTTATATATAATATATATATAGATACATAATGTTGAATGGTAGATATTTCAGTGGAGAGATAAGTTGGGGAAAACTGTGGCAAGGGTGGGTTTTTCTTACATTGTTTCGGTACTGCTGCAGCCCTGGCTTTGCTAGGCCGGAGAGCCTTGCTCAGCTTGGGTATTGGGGCAAACCTTGGGAGGGAGGCTGGGCCCATTTCCCGGCGTAATGAAGATTTGGGCTTTGTTCAAAAGAAAGAAAAAAGAAAAGTAACCCCAAGAGCATATGCCTATTTTTTTATTACTTTAGCGCATACTCACACTAGCACTTTTCTAAATGTGTGTGACCATAATTACAGTTGAAACCATACTTGTGAGTGCACACCGTGCAGGCAATTCCACACGTGATGTGCGGCGGAGGGGAAAATAGCCACCCAGGAGAAAAAGTGGTCGAAGGCCTGGAGCAGTGATCACCGGCGCCCCTTTCCAAAATTTGTTGTAGCATGAGAAAGGAAAAAAAAGAGTTGGAGGAGCAATGCTTAAACCACGGGTACACCTAGAGCTACTGGTAGCGGGATAAATGTCCTTTCTAAAAACAAAAAATAAATAAAAAAGCAAAAGGAACAAAAAAGAAAACGAACTCTTCTTCTAAAAAAACAAGCGGAAAAGGAAAACCAAAGAAATGAAACCGGGGGCCGGGGGGGGAGGGAGAGAGAGAGAGAGAGAGAGAGAGAGAGAGAGAGAGAGAGAGAGAGAGAGAGAGAGAGAGAGAGAGTTTCACGGCAAACTCGCCGTCTCTCTCTCGCTCTCTGCCTCTGTCTCTCTCTCTGTCTCTCTCTCTCTCGAGCGCAGCCGTGCAGAAGTGCAAAAATGAGAATGAATCTTCCGCCAAAACGAAGGAAGATGCATTCTCTCTCTCTCTCTCTCTCTCTCTCTCTCTCTCTCTCTCTCTCTCTCTCTCTCTCTCTCTCTCTCTCTCTCCCACGTGAGGATGTCTTTTTTTCTTTTTCTTCTCTTTTTTCAAGTTTTTTTATTCGAATTTCATTTTTTTATTTTTTTTTTGTCTTTTTAAAATTTTAAAATTTTATTTTTATTTTTATTTTTATTTTATTATTAATGCACAGCGAACAGGCATTTGTCAAGCGGGATCCCGACCTCCCCGTGTTACCCGGCACATCGGAGATTTCAAGCGGGGCTATTTATGACGCCCAATGAGACAAAAAGAAAGATCTGTACCACCGTACTTGAACAGGATCTGTTCCTTAGGAAGTACACTCTTCTGTATCTACGAAAACGGCAAAAAAAAAACAAAAAAAAAAACAGAGACTATTTCTGGTGCGGCACACAGGCAAGTTCAATGCGTCGTGCAGCGCACCGCAACGCACGGTTGTGTGGTTCGTGCAGTTGCAAGTATGGTTGAAACTGGATGCATCTGACCACAATCACGACCAGAGCTGAGTCCAAAAATCCTAGCTCGAGCGTGCATTTACTCTGTTTCATCAGCAGAAAAAGAAAAGGAAAAAACTTGAGCCAACTTGCACTCAGGGCGGAAAAGCTGTGATTTTCACTGATTTCCAATTCTTTGAAACTGCTTTTTGTTTTAGTTTTTTTCTTTCCTACGGACAAGCTATCGTCCCCAACAAGTGGTTTTTACTTGACTGATTGCACCATCACTTGCTCCCTTCTTCACAAGAAACAAAACTGCGGCAAGTCCCAACTGAGGCCAGGCGCATTTTCACGAATATGGCCCCAAAACTGAAGAAATGCATTTTCAACAGAAGCAGATTGTGCCAGATTCAGCCAGAATGATAGAATTCAATCCGTGCACGGACTCCTTGAAATGGGACACCAAAAAAAAACCAACAAAAAATAAAAATAAAAAAAAATGGAACCTGTAGAACAGGATCTACTCCTTGCACGGCTGGACATCAGTGCAATCGCATGTCCGCTTGTATTGGATATACAAAAAAAAAAAAAAAAAAAAAAAAAATCTCTCATTCATACGTATTGGAAATTTTCTGCCATGTCAAACCTATTCCCTGCCCTCTGCAAAAACACTTCTGTTCTGGCATTATTTGGAAGTTGGAACAGACTGGATGGTAGAGACCGGGGCATTGGGGAGCATGGCAGTCTCACTAACTCACCGGCCAGTCAAAGCGCTGAAAATCTCTCCGTTCCCAGATCGGCAAAACTTGAACCAACAGCACCAATGGCGAACAGCACATTCAGCAGCTCGTAGCTGAGCCTCCGCGGGCTCTTTGCGAGACATTTGCAAGGTCAGACTTAAAGATCCGACAAGCCTGCCCTCTACCGCAGCTGGCAGTCCGGCCACAGCCTCTTCATATACACAGAAGAGCTGCCCCATGCGGTCGTGCGAAAATCTGACAGACAGAGCCATCCTTCCCAAGACACATCCTAGCTTCCTCCACACCTTCTCGCTGAGCCATTTAACTCCACCCGCAATGATCCTTAAACGAGCTCAACCACCCCTTCTCCCCGCGCAAAACGCTGTGCGGTCTGATTAAACATCTGACGGGCCTTTCGTCGACTGGCAAATTCCGGTCACAACCTGTGTATGCATGCAGGGAAGAGCTGCCCCAAGCACTTCTCATGGTCTAAATCGTAACTCCCTCAAAAA